TTGTGTGTCACGGTGCCATTCACTTTGAATGGCACCCTTACATACTAAAGCAATGCACAGGCATTGCAGCACACTGCAGCATAAAGCAACATACCGTAGTGCTTTGTGTTAAACATTTTGTGGCCCATCTGATTTTTTGGGACATTCTGGTACTTTGGTAGCTCATTGATTTTATGGCCTGCCCAAATGCAACCCACATCAATGCGCCACATAACGCCTGTTAACAAAGTGAACTAATGCATAGCACAAATGTAAATAAGCCCTTAAAGTAGAACTGAAGCCAAAACCTATTGCTTTAGTTTGGATAGAGTAAGGGAGAATTATAACCCCCATCGGCTTTTCTTTTGCCATCTGTGTCGCATTGGGAGAGGTTTCCCTTCACTTCCTGTCTGATAGCCACAACAGGAAGCGAGATAAAATCCCTCCAAAGAGAGGGAAATCCCTGGTAAGTAGAGGACAGATAGCAACTAGCAGCTCCTACCAGGTCCGCTTTTCCTGTAAAGCAATCGTTGGCCAGGACAGCAGCTCCCACCAGGTCCGCATTTCCTGTAAAGCAATCGTTGGCCAGGGCAGCACCAAGTCTTAACAATTACACACTGGGGTATCTTGGTCCTTATTGCGTCTCCTTTAGGGCTTGTTTCTACCAGCTTGTGCGCTCATTGCACTGTCCCGTGCCCGGAATGCAAGGCATTGCATACACAAAGTATCCTTGCATTCTGGGGCGGGAGGGGGCGTGGCAGTGCCATTCATGCAGATACGACCCCCTTGCTCGCAGTGCGATCGGATGCACAGGACCGCATGGTAAAAAAAAAATGCCCTGCTTTCCAATGCAGCACGATTGAAGAAAAAAAAAAAGTGCATACACAATTCTTTTTGTGATTATACAGCACTGGAACGCAGGGCATTGTTTTACCATGCGATCCTGTGTGTGGGTGTCTGTAGTGCCATTGACATGAATAGCACTGCCACGCCCCCTCCCGCCCCAGAATGCAAGGAGACTTTGTGTATGCAATCCCTTGCATTCCGGGCACGGGACAGTGCGATGAGCGCATGGGCTGGTGGAAACAAGCCCTTATGGTTCAACTGATCCAGTGTGCATGGCCGTATCGGGCCGCTCCCGGGACGGACAGGTGCTGCGTGTGATTGCGTACGAGCACGGATGTGCAGTCCGGGTGATGTGCAGACAGGATGATTCCTGTCTGTGTCCGAGCACAGACACCTGCACCCATATGGATGTGCAGTTCGGGTGAGCGTACGGCCGCGTACTCCCATAGAGAAGAACAGGTTGCTGCGTGCAATCACACCTGTCCTTCCCGGGAGTGGCCTGATACGGCCGTGCACGCAGCACAGACTTAACAGTGTGAATGAAGCCTAAATCTAAAAAACTACTCTTGTTATTCTGTTCTCTGAATTCACTGGGCAGGTGAGTATGTTATTCTGTTCTCTGAATTCACTGGGCAGGTGAGTATGTTATTCTGTTCTCTGAATTCACTGGGCAGGTGAGTATGTTATTCTGTTCTCTGAATTCACTGGGCAGGTGAGTATGTTTTCTGTTAAGTGTTGTCCTGCTGTGATCTGCCACGACCGGGGTCCTGCACTGCCATCTACTACTATGATGTCATTGGGAGTTGGCTGTCTCTTTCGGGTTCTGCAGATGGGTCCCCTCTGACACGTGGCCAGGTCCACCCTCCGGCCCCTATGAGTTGCTGCTCCTTCAGCTTCCTGAGATGTGTGATGGGGCTATCTCAGGAGGCTGTGGGAACAGGGAAATGTCATCCTCAGTTAGGAAGAACATCTGCAAGGAAAGGCAGGGCCGGACAAAAACATTTTAAAAATCACTTTATATTATGGGGGGATTGCAGAGGGATAGAGTGGATCCGGAGAGTAAATGTTCACTTAAATGTGCTGCAGGTGCATCTTTTCTGACATTAGTCAATGCAGCACATCACAACTCTTGCAATATTCCTTGTGGTGCGCTGTACTGCAGGTGCCTTGGCATGTACTGTACAATTGTCATGGGGGACCCATTCTACTGCAAGGCACATCCTTAGGCACTGCAACGCAACGCACATCCTATCACGCATTAACCTGTAAGGTGTAAATGGATGGTAAAACTAGTGTTTTATCATGCATAACAATAATGCCTCAGTGTGAATGAGCCCAAATGATCTATCAACATTCCAACCCTAACAAACAAAGACGCTGACATTGTACTGGAACCTCCTACATATCCCGACTACAGGGAGTTACCTACTACAGGACTAGGCAACCTTGGCTGTGCTGAGACTACAATTTCCAACATGCCTGTGCCTCTAGGAGTCATGCCTGTAACTGTCATTCTTGCAATGCCTCATGGGACTTGAAGTTCCACAACAGCTGGAGTGCCAAGATTGCCTACCCCTGGGAAGTTACCCAACAACCTTTTACTCGGAGCAATTCTCTCTTTACATAATGCATATCAGTGTTTGTCTTGCTCTAACTGACTTCCACCTTCCACATGCCACAACTAATCTCCTGATGACCTGTTAGGTAATATCTATGAAAAGACTCATAAATGTTTCTTGCACAAGAGTAGTGTCCATAGACCAATGAAAGGTGTGGCACTCTGCTTTGACCATGTTTGGTAACAACCTATGACGGTGCTATATGGTATATTACCTGTGCTTGCTCATAACAGGTTAACCTGGACAGAGAGGAACAATGTCAGAGCAATGGGAGTACATGCCTCAAGACGTCCTCACCCAAGTGTTCTATTTCCTGCCACTCACAGATAGACGGGCTGTGTCCCAGGTCTGCCAGTCCTGGGCATCTGCTGTGGCTACAAGCTCTGTCTGGCACTACACAGAAATCCGGTAGGTAATGAGGTTTATATCTGGATCCTTATGAATTATTATATTTGCTATGCTATGACATCTTTTCAACCTCTAGAACACTTTGTATTCCTATCATAGGAGAATGCAGATTATTTCACCTGTGATCCTGAGAACTGCAGAGCTTAATGATGGTCCCCGAGGCCAGAACTGGCCCATGACAGCTGACACAATATTCCATTCATATTCCTATTATAGGGCCCCATGAACATGGCCGTAATTAAATTACTGATTTGCTGCCCAGGATCTTACTGGCAGAAAGATCCAGTGTAAAAAACGCATGCTCATGTTTATGTGCGTATAGATGCGTAAATGTTTATTTTCTACAACGTGCAGGCGTGTAAAATTCTGCTTCCATTTCATTAAGTTTACGTTCATACCTGTGTACGCATGTACATGCATTTATATGTGTACACGTGTCATTTACTGACCTTGGAAGCAGATTATTCCGTTTTGATCTGCTGGATCTGAACGCAGTGCGTTTACTGATCTTTATGCACTGCGTGCATGAGCCTCTAGAAACCATAGAACTGCATTAAGACCCCAAAACATAAAAATGACGTACTGATAAAAACACAGTTTTTTTATATAGCCATGTGCATGAGCCCATCACTGACAGTAAATCCCAGTTCACACCATGACATATCGGGAACATACGTCTTGCATTTCTGTGAGTTCACAGCTGTTTGCCCCGCGTCCCCATTGATTTCACATGCGTGACAAATGTGGGATAGTCACACATGTAGCTCAATCTGCTACATGTCCCGCATATTTTCCCACGCGTTTGTGCAAGTTTTAACGCGTATTCACGTGTGGGAAATTTTTTTGCTAGGCTGCGTTTGGCGTGCCATTAACATAATGGCACTGCAAGCACGTTGCTTGTTTTTTATGCTTTCCATGAACGTGTGTCAAAGCATGCGTACAACGTGCAGTTTTGCACACATTCACGGTTAGGTATGAGCGGGGACTAAGGTTACATGCACACAGCCTTCAGAAATGTACAGAGCATGTATGCAAGTTTTATCTGGACGAAAAAGATCCAGCGTAAAGGATCAGTAAAATGTTTGCGTTTAGACGCATAAACACAGATGTGTAAAATTCTTTAGTGTCATTTTTTTTCTTTGGACTTTACACGCGTACGCATGCATTTGGATGCATAGGCATGTAAAAATGTTGTGTTACGGATGTGAATGTGGTGCATATTTACACACCTGTGTGCATGTCCCCATTGAAACACATAGACCTGCATTCACCTGCAACCATGCAACAGTGTGCATTTCGTTTTTACATCTGGGTGCATGTGGTCTTACAGTGACAGTACCCTAAAGAAAGATTTGCCTTCACTAACGCCTCTACTAGGGTTGCCACCGGCACCCGCAGCCAATCAGCATGGAGCCAACCAAACAGTATGGAGCCAGCTTCTCTGCCAATCAGGAAGCCGGCTCCATGTTCCCTCACGGCACTGCCGGTCAAAGGAAATCTCCCTCTGCCCGGAAGTTCCGCTATGAGGAGGAGCAAGTATTGGAGCATTTGGGCGGGTACGAGTACTCGCCCAACTACTCAGTATCGGCACCGATGCAATACACCCTAAGCGGCTCATAGTGCCTAACCTTCCAATTGTCTGATTTCTGCTTTGCAAGGAATTATAGGAAACTGATATAAACACATTGTGGGTATGTCTAATTTAAAGTGACATTAAAGGATAATTCCCCCCCACCCAATGTTAGTGTAAGGACTTACCTTAAATGATGCCTCTTGATTCGATCATCTTCTTCTTTACTGTAGTTTTCAGGAGTCCCCCCAGCTGGTGCCGGTCTCTGATACAGCACTGACTCCTCTGTGTTAGCTGGCACTTTCTGTCCCACGGTATCTGTGTGGGTGCATGCTGCTCCATAGACTTACCTTGTGTCTCTCCTCGTCTCCCGGCTGAACATCTGAACTGTGCATGCGCCCGCTCCAAGATCCTTTGCGGCCGCCCGAGACTTCAGATGTTCGGACGGGAGCGTGCGGCAAAGCTTCAGGTAAGTTTAAACCTGTTTGAACAGTAGTTTTAAAAAAAATGTTTTTGCATATATCTACTGCTTGCTAGCAGTAGATATATGCTAAAAAATGCTGAACGTTTAATAATCCTTTAATTATTGATTTTTATCTGGGGTTCTCCTTTAAGAACTATGTTATAAAGAGACTGCTGAAGATACGTTTTCTATATGAAAACATAGTTTCTATTATATAAAGTTTCCTTTATTTGAACCTCAATAAATGTAAAAGTTGGCAGAAGGATACAGAAACAGATGTTTGCCTTTTTTGCTTTCGATGTGTCACAATCCACTGATGCCTTTTCCTGGAATAGCAAATAACTGGCTGACGAGTATAATTATTGGAATTAGGGATTTTACACTTAACTTTACAAATGTCTCTTTCTTTCAAAGTATGAATTGGCTATCCTTGCTAACAATAAACCTGTGCAGGTTAAACTGGCCATGCAGGGATCAAATTCCATCCATTTTCCTGCTGAAAATAGATATGTGGGTGACCCTGCTGGTACAACCCAGACTTTTGTCAAGACAGGTGGTGCCTATTGTAAAATATGGAAAATTGTTGACTGAGCAGTGACTGCAGCAATCAGCGCAGTCACCATTTGGTTATTCTGACAGCCATAGGAGCCAGCTATCAGTATACAATAGCAGGCGAGATTCCTCTTTAGTGTTGATGGGGGAATCAAGTGATTATTCTCGTTTAGCCCACAGGGCTACTTGTATGGCCACTTTTAGAAATGTTGCTACTGTGGGTTCAGGAATCTCCTCGATGACCGTTATTACGGTGTCACAATAAGGGTCTGTTCACACCAGCAAGCCGTGACAGGTACCAGTGGTACCCCTAGCCTTTTTGCCACCTATGGGGTGGTGGTGCACGTAATCAGAGCAGCGGTACGTGTGTAGAGGAAACAGCACTGCCATACATGAGAGTGACACCTCCCTCTGCAAGCTCTACATCTCCACGCCTGGCTGTTAGCAACCTGGGAGGCTCTGGCTGGCGTCCCGCCCAGCTCCTGGCAACCAGCTACATCACTCGTTGCCAGCAGACGGGTGGGATGCCAGTTAGAGCATCTCAGGTTGCTAAGAGTTGGCCCTTATACATCATCTCGCCCAGCTCTTAGCAAACTGGAACGCTCTGTCCAGAAAGGGGGAGGCAGGCACACTGCAAACATTGTGCAGCAGAGTGGCCATGCCGCTCTGCCAGCTATTCTACCCCCCACACATACCCCAAAGAGATGCCGTCTGAGGCAACAGCCTCAGGCTGCTTCATTAAATTCATTGTGATTCTCAGTGTGTGATAGCTATGCAACCGCCTTGTGCATAAGTGTCACAATCGTAGTTTGCAGTCTGCATTGTAATATACAACTCTTGTAGGCAGCCATATCACATTGTCCACCTGAAATATTGCCTGAACTAGCCACATGACAAACATGCGCCATTCTCCTAGAAAAGCTGCTTTTTAATGTTCCCCTAGACATAAATGAGCATTTAACACTTGCAGTGTGGGAGTAGACTGAATGAAAGGGTAATTTTGGATTTTTCCCAGAGTTCAGCTTTAAAACATAATTAAACCCTCTGGGGTTTTTTTGCATGTATTTACTGCTACCAAGCAGTAGATCTATGCAAAAAACATAAAAAAAGTAGAAAACATAAATAAAAAATCACCAAAAAGGTTATTACTTACCTGTGTCTCCACCGCTCACTCACTCAGTCTAGCTAGCATTTCCTCAGGTAGGGTAACAGTGGAAACCCTCTCATGACAGGTTTGGTATAGACACAAACCAGCAAAAGGAAGCATGTCATTCAGCATCCACCAAGCATAATCGAGTACATTTTCCTCAGATGTACATTGTTCAGGTGAAGTTAAAAAATATTCCAGTCACATCCTGTATTTTCTTCTTTCCTAGCTGGACAACGGAGGATCAGCTACAGTCCCTAGATGGCTTACAAGGTTTCCTAGGTCAGATTAGACAACTGAAGATTGTGCTTGACCAGTCCAAAGAAGCAAATAGAAAAAATTTCATTCAGATTCTTGAATGTTTGGCCAAAGAAGGCGAAAAGTTACAGAGCCTGACTATCATATGTTGTGGGGAGAACCCTTTGTTTGATTCCGGCACAGAGATTTTGGACAGCATTATGGAACTGTGCAGGAAAGAAAGCTGCATAGACCTCCATCACATTGACTTAAGAAAACTTCCATTTACTCTCAGTGATGGTTTTACAAGGCTCATTGCTACTGGGAGTCCAAATCTACAAAGCTTGTACATCAACAATGGAACATTGGTTTGCAAAGTGACTCCTGACACTCTGATTGAGGTCTTACAGAGGTGTCCGAAACTGTCTGTTCTAGGTGTCTTTTGTTCCAGTCTTTCAGAAGATGTATTCCGAGAGCTGATGAAGCCAGACAGACCACCCTTTAGGCATCTTGATATCTTGTGTGAGCATCTGGATAAGTACACTCTTGGTATTTCTGATAAGGTTTGGAAAGAAATTTGTCAACACCACCCATCTCTGTCTGTGGATATGGAGTTTGACCATACTGTCCCGGCATGGAAAATTCCACAAATCCTAAGGCCGGATATCCCTGTAAATACATTACAGCTCAACACTTACAATGAAATGACAAGACCACTAACATTTGTCAGCAGTCACTATGTGCGGACCCTCAGGAAGCTTGTGATACAGACCACCACCTCGAAAGCTCTTGACTCAGCTTTGATTGACGTAGCCACAAAGTGCCTTAAACTGGAGGAGATTCATTGCTACTGCGTTGTTAGCCCTGATGTTATTCAGGCTTTCCGGTCACACTGTCCTCATTTGAAGAAATACACACTCAAAGTTACTAAGGAACAACATCCTTGGAAGGCAACCTATTGTCAACCAACATCTACAAAACCTATACTTTAACAGTAGTTTTACAGGCAAAAACAACCTTATCTGATAAAGGGAAAAAAATAAATAAAAAGATATATATATTTTTCTTTTTGTTTTGGATGCTGGAGGGATTGGTTAAAACCCTTTGGGTTTTTTTTTGGGAATCTCTGTCCGATTGGTTAGAAGCTCCATCACATTAGAGTCTATTTACAAACAATGTGCAGGGCCCTTCACCCTGTGACTATCCATGAATATTTTTCATATAAGTCAATACCCTATTAAGTATGAAGAGAATTTAACGTACAAAATTCTAACCAACGTGTATACCCAGTTTAACAGTGATACACCACGGACCACAGTTTGGAAAACATTGCAATAGACCAAATTTAGAACAATAATGTATATTGTTAAGGGAAACCCCTTTTCTACACAGTTCCCGATAAATGCACTTTTAAAAATGTAACCAAATATTTAATATTTTTTGCAATAATGTCAAATATTAAAACTTTATTGTCAACACAGTATGGTATCCAGAGTTATATGTCAATACAGTATGGCATCCAGAGTTATATGATATAGTTTTTGCCGCTTTAATGTTTTTTTGGTTGTTTTTTTTTTTATAAACAGAAAATATGATCTGATCCTTTCTCTCATTGCACAGTATATATCATACCTTGCATTCATGACCCACCCCCGGAGTCCTGTACATCTGCCCTTGGTGACTCTGGGCTCTTTAATGTGATGGAGCTTCTAACCAATCGGACAGAGACTCTCAAGAAAATCCGACCATGACCCCAGTGTCTATTTATAAACAATGTGCAGGGCCCTTCACCCTGTCACTATCCATGAATATTTTTCATATAAGTCAATAATACCAAAATGTATGTTCTAGAACAGTGGTTCTCAACCTGTGTAACCTCAGGACCCACATTTGTCCTTGGTGATCAAGTCATGACCCTATTCGCACTGCACTGGAACGCATGGCATTGCGGTACCGAGCTTCCAGTGCGGGCGAACTGTGGGATAGCAATGCAGCGCACCTCCCACACCAGAATGCGCGGTAAGTGCGATTGTGTAATGAGGTGCGTTAATCGCATATGACTGTGCGATTAACGCACTGTACTAGTGTGAACGGGCCCTCAAAAACACTGTCAGACACCCACAAGCATAGACACAATCTCATACTCGCAGACATTCTCACCCACACATACACTCTCCAAAAAATTTTTATTTTTTGAAGATCCACCCAGTCTCCCTATCTTACGAGAACCGGAGTGGATCTTCAGCCTGGGGGTCCAGTGTGAGCTGTGCTGTGACGGAGCTCCATCCATATGTGTATTCCTTGTACAACTCTTTCATGTGCCCTGTAGAGGTGCTGGAAACCAGAATATGACAGCACTCTGGTCCAGGCACCTCTACAGGGCAGGTGAGGGAGCTGTAAGCAGTGCAAATATGGATGTATGGAGCTCCCTCGCGGCGGCACCCCACCCCACCCTACCTCACGCTGACATTCTGCTCCGGGCAACATATTTTGAATGGCTGCTTAGGTTGCGAACTGACAATGCTGCGCTAGGAGGAATGCTGAGGATCCTCTCACCTAGAAAAGTGGAAGGCATGCAGTGACCCACTGAACACAGGGTCGCGACCCACTTTTGGGTCACGACCCACCAGTTGAGAATCAAGGTTCTAGAATATATTGTTTTCCCAGTTTGAATGTAGTATGTTGTAATAATATGTTATAGCCACTAGATGGAGCCGATGAAAGAGGAAATTAATATTTATTTCAGGAAGGTACCGGAGCAAGAATTATGTACCTTATATATTGTGTCATGTTAGAGGGCTTGTGGTCACTGAAGGAAGTGTTTATGAAACATTCTCTACAGGTAATCATGAAGTAAAGATGGCATTGTCTTTAGCATCAACACAGAAGATAGAATTATTTTGTGAGGATTACACTACAGGACATTATTTTGTGAGGATTACACTACAGGACAGACAGTCTGTGATGCGGCAGAACATCATATGTACAGATGTTACCAAGGCAGGTATTGTAAAGCTGGGTATACACTGGTAGATGTTTAAACTTTCATCTTTTAAAAATCGGAAAATCTCAGTATCAGAATATTGCATAATGCCATCAGAGACTTGGCAAATGTTGTTTGAATCTTCTTTGATTCCAACATTCGATCTTAGAATTTAATTCAGGAAACTGCAATTATTTCCAACAGTAAATGTGGTTTTCATTCATTTAACAAAAAATGTCCATCTTGTACTGCAATTTTTTTTATTGCTACAGTCAGATCATCGAGGTGACTCTGTTAACGGTGTAGAGAATTTATCGAACAAAATCCTAACCACCGTGTATACCCAGTTTAACAGTGATACACCACGGACCACAGTTTGGAAAACATTGCAATAGACCAAATTTAGAACAATAATGTATATTGTTAAGGGAAACCCCTTTTCTACACAGTTCCCGATAAATGCACTTTTAAAAATGTAACCAAATATTTAATATTTTTTGCAATAATGTCAAATATTAAACCTTTATTGTCAACACAGTATGGCATCCAGAGTTATATGATATAGTTTTTGCCGCTTTAATGTTTTCTTTTTTTTTTTATAATCAGAAAATGTGCAATGAGAGAAAGGATCTGATCATAATATATATTATACCTTGCATTCATGACCCACCCCTGGAGTCCTGTACATCTGCCCATGGTGACTCTGGGCTCTTTGGGGTCATGGTTGAGTTTATTGGAGCATCAGGGGTATTCGCAAGAGGTTTGATTTGTTCAGTGGGTGTGTGTTGATTGAGAAGGTGATTGCTGAAGGGGGTAATGCGTGCAGCAGCCAGAGATGGCTGCAGATTACTGCTCCATGCTCACCAGGTATAACTTACCATTAACCAGCTTGCCAGAAGCTTACCCAGAACCTTACAGTGATGGAGAGGAGGCCCAGACTGCCCTGCATTTGTTGGTGATGAGCCTGCAACCAAAAGGCAAATGGTGTACACAACTCCTCGACACCCCATGCAGGCTGCACTCAGCAGCTAAGATGGTGCCTGGCAACCCGAAGCAAGACAGCGCTTCCAGACGCTTGGCTGACTCGTAGAACAGCCAGGAGCTTTTTGCAGACGTGCTCCCAGGGAACTTTGCAAACCACACTCCTAACACCCATGTGGGACATAGTGTGGGAGGAACCAGCCAAGACCTCTTCCACAAAACATCAGAATTCCAGCGGGAGATCAATCAAAAAAACATAGGCCACCACACCACCTCCTTTGAAGGGAGGACGGATAATGCCACCACCGTTCTGGAGGGACACAAACAAGACCTGGAAGCAGTGCAAAAAGAACTAACCCTCTTGCGTGATCAAGTAGAGGACTATGTAAATTGCACCAGACACAGCAACCTCCACCTTTAGAGTCCATTGAAGATCTTCAGGGCTCTGTCACTGCCCTCTTTCAGGAACATTCTCCTGACGGTGGACAGGGTCCATAGGGCTCTCTGTCCCAATAAACCAGATTGTTTGTGCAAAAGAAATGCATTTTTACAATAACATCTTGTGGCAGACTAACAGCATCTTCAACCAGAGAGGAACAAGCATCTTCAACCAGAGAGGAACATGCCAAATTTTACATTTCAAGGTCATTATTATTATACAGGATTTATATAGCGCCAACAGTTTGCACAGCGCTTTACAATATAGGGAAAACATAATTACAATACAATTCAAGACAAGATGGTAAGAAGGACCTACAATCTAAGAGAGGTCATGCTTATAGTCTGTATGCTAATGTGGCCCAGTAAATGCTGGGTTATGCTAATGTGGCCCAGTAAATGCTGGGTTATCTGTCCATACCTCTTGGTCCTGATCCTTGAATCCACAGGCATCACATATCATTGGGGACATCCCTTCAAGCTTTTGTTCATCCACAACGCCAGGACATTTCAACTCCAGACTCCCAAAGATCTGCTTGTCTGCTTTAATCCTTCAGCTTCCTCCAGAGAAGGTGATGGAGACTTGGAAGCTCAAAACTCCTGGGAATCACCGAGTAGTGCTGGCAAAGACATGGCAGTATCTCTGTCTAGTGAGCACTGTATTTTGTGGACTGCTAAATGCAGTATTTATCTCTACCAATGGACTGTTACGCTGGATACACACTATTCTGTATGTTTTGGAGTGCATGTAGTAGTGCACATGTGTAGGTGTGAATGTATCCATATAGTTCCCATTACAAAACTTGATGTGAATTGTCACACAGGAAACAATGGGATTTCTACTTATAATGCATTTATTTTAACGTATGCTTTTGTTGAAGAGAAGACCTTGTCCTAAAGCAGAAAACTAGGTTCTCTACCATTTCCTGCCCCCTCCTCCTTCCCCACAGAAGACTCCGTTGAAAAAATCCCACACACTTTAATATTTTGTTGGACCGCCTTTAGCTTTGATTGCGGCACGCATTCAGTGTGGCATTGTTTATTTAAGCGTATGCAATGTCACAACATTTATTTCTGTCCAGAGTTGCATTAATTTTTCACCAAGATCTTGTAGTGATGATGGGGGGGTCGGGCCATTGTGTAAAGTCTTCTCCAGCACATCCCAAAGATTCTCAATGGAGTTAAGGTCTGGACTCTGTGGTGGCCAATCCATGTGTGAAAATGATGTCTCATGATCCCTGAATTACTCTTTCTCAATTTGAGCCCAATGAATTCTGGAATTGTCATCTTGGAATATGCCCGTTCCATCAGGCAAGAAAAATTCCATTGATGGAAAAACCTTTTCATTCAATATATTCAGATAGGTAGCTGACCTCATTTTTTGGATACATAACATTGCTGAACCTAAACCTATTATCCAGTGTAAGGCTCTTAACTGTTTGCTTAGCTAAATGCAGATGGTGACTTTGTGTCTGGGCCGGCAGTGTATTTAACCAGCATGCGCCTCTTTAAGGCCCAGACAGCAAAACGTTTTCCTGGCACACTCACAAGCTAGCATGTAAAAAAAACTTGTCTCACCACAAAGGTTAAAAACAGAGGTTTGGATACACGTCTTCTGCAGAAAATGTGAAAGCCGCAGAGCCGCGCCAAGGCACCTCTTATAGTGCGGTCCTAACTCTAAACTATGAGAGTCTCCATCTTGGAGCACATGGGGCCAGAAGATACAATTGGGTGCAGGTTTGTCAGGAGGAAGCCCAACCTCCCTTTAAGGCACAGGAGCGCACAAGGGATCCCGCACATCCCAATGGCAGCTGAGACCCCCCATGCATCACTGCACCAAATCAGTCAAGCAAAACAACTGGCAAACGCACTCATCAATTCATCACCAGCTTTACAGCAAGGTGCACACGGAATGGGCTTTAAACAGTAAAACAGCAAAATGTTTTCCTGGCACACTCACAAGCTAGCATGTAAAAAAAACTTGTCTCACCACTAAGGTCTTTAAGGGCCAATTCACACCAGAAAGAGTGCGTTCCAGAGCATTCGGCCTCTGGAACGCAACCAGGCCGGCCCCTGAACGCAGGGAGCATGAGGGGGAGTGGTGGTGCATTGAAGTCAATGGCACCGCAGCCACGCCCGCACCCAAACACGTGGCACAATAGTACCTTCGTTCCTGGTCCAGTGCGATCTGCAAAAATAGCGTATGCAGCATTTTTGCAGATTGCAGTGGACTGGAACGCAGGCACTAATGTGACACACGTTCGGGTGATCGCATTGTGAGGGTGATTGCACCAAAAGCTGTTTTTTTATTTAAAGGAGCAAGGCATCATATAAAGTAAAACAAAAGCAGAAAAAAATAAATAAATTGAACTTCCACTTTAACTGCCTCCGGGCCGGCCTGCCGGGTGCTCTCTAGATCTGAGCGGGAAATAGGTCTGAGCGGGAAATGGCCGCAATCTAAAAACAGGCAGCGATGCCTGTTAACATACAAGCGATCCGCCAGCCCCCCCTCCGCTGTCCCCTCCGCCATTGTCCCGCTGATCCCGAGCTCCGCTGTGCCCGGTGCGAGCCCGGGATCAGCACCATGCCTGTGTAACGGGATCAGAGGGAGCTCGTTACACGAGCTCCCTCTGGTCCCCTCTCCTCCGAAAGAATGCGGAAGTGTTGTATAGTACATCACTTCCGCATTCTTGTGTCACTCTCCAGCTTCAGAAGCTGCAAAGAAGCTGATGGAGCAGATCTGTGCTTCATCAGCTTCTTTTGGGGGGTCCTAGGTGACAGGGGTCTTGGAGACCCCTGATGTCTCCATAAAGAGGACCTGTCACATATTTTGCTATCACATAGGGGGGTTTTATTAGCCCCCGTATGTGATAGCAATAAAGTTTAGTAAAAAAAGGGAAAGAAATTAAAGTCCCCCCCCAAAATTTTTTTTTAAGTTACACAAAAAAAATGTAAATTTTTTTTTAAGCCCCCATGCGCTGAATACTGAAAAATGGCCTGGACAGGAAGGGGGTCTAAACACCTGGTCTTGAAGTGGTTAAGTAATAAATGAGAATGTATTTAAAAGCCAGTGTCCTGTGTGCATGTGTTGAATGGCCTGAATATTACAATACATAAATAAGCAGCATACCTTACCTTGCCACCAATAGATTGCACTACAAAATATAATTAGAAATCCTCAATTTGAAAAAGAGCCTCTGGTAAACCAGACACCCAGAGTTAGTTTTAACAGAACTTATTGTTGCTGTGTGAGGAGATTCTTCCTATTAGCGCTGGAGATAATATCAAATCTATATGTACAGAAACACTACAGCTGGGTACTGTGACATTATATACTTTAGCTCACAATTCATTTTTTAGGACACAGCTCCATCTAGTGGCAAAGAAAAGAATGTGCATTGTATAAGGCATGGATGCTGGAAGTGATCTGATCAGAAGGAGAGAAAGTCATGCAGATATGGCAGATTTTTGTTTTACTTTTCTTAATGTCTTTCTTAAAAATCCAAAATAAGTGTGTGCAGATAGAGGGCTGTAGTTTCTCTAAAATTGTGCTGGAATTTTGATAAGGGGCAGTTTAGATTTAAACTTTGCTTTATGAAGTTACTTACAGCAAAACTCCAGCCCCAAACAGCAAAAAAAATGAATAGTCCATTCAAATATAAAATAAAAAACAGCTTTTGCTGCAATATTCACCTTAACCCCTTCGTGACTGACGACGTACAGTGTACGTCGGTGTGGTGACAAGCCAAAACACTCAGCAGCAAAATGTCTTCCTTAAAACATTGGTAAGTATCAACATTGCACATCTAAAGTATCTTACAAAAACACTTATTATACCCGTTTTATATATTAGTTATTGAAGAGATATAAAAAATATCTCCAATGATATGAGGGACCAAAAGGGAGCAAATAAGAGAAGTTGATTGCTGGGGTTTACGTTCACTTTAACAGCAAAAGGGGCAATACACAACTGCATGTGATAGTCCATGTATCAGAGGATGTATTTGTCATGCACAGCTGAAGTGTCTTACATATGTGCAGTGATCCATTGCCTTTCGGTGGGTTTGTATGAGCCCTTTACATAATATTGTATGTTTGCTCAGAGCTTTGTATGAATACTGCATCACTGAGCATTGTTCTGTCCTGGGGAGAGGGGGTCGGTGCCAGCAAATTAGTGCTGAGTGGTTCACAGTGTGACCTGGTGGTGTGAATCAGCTGCAGCCACTCTCATTGTGACACTGTGACCTCAGTACATGGGTTCCTCTCAGCTATCCCTATCACTGTACCATCTCATGGGCATGGAGTTTGAGTAGCACACATCGGTCACCATGCAGGAATCTGCTAATTCCCTGGCAATGGACGGGTACTGCAGCAATGTGCCGGCCTTCCTCACCAAGCTGTGGACATTGGTAGAAGACCCCGAAACCAACCACCTTATCTGCTGGAGTGTGGTAAGTGTTTCATTGGTGAGCAAGGACTGGGGAAATGGGTTCTAAGCTGTAGGGATGCTATACTGATTCTGTAAGTCTTACTATAGACACAAAGAGGTATACCTAAAAATAAAGAGAACTGAACTGCATACTAATCATACTTTATGTCTGTGAAGGTTCTCACTTGTCCAGGTCATGGTGGTTGTAGCTGTTTAACTTTACAGAACAAATCCAGAAGAATGTAAAGACCTTTCCAAGCCACTTCATATTTAATTTTCACGTTTGACCTTCACATGTCCATCTGTAGCCAAGTAAGATACCTGGTTGGCTATGCAATAAAATACATTGATTATAAACTAATATTTTACTTTATGATATACATTATGCCCATCAATTCGGACTGAACATTAGAGTTCATGCTATAAAAAGGTGTTTGTTGTTTGCAAAATCGTTATAGCAAATTCAATAAAAAAGGATGACAGCACATTGGTAGTCTATTGTGATATGCTGTAGGTTTGTTTTCATGCTGCTACGAGAAAACATTTTTCTGTACTGTTACATGAGTTATCTTGTAGTAATAATAGTAATAATAATAATATAATCTTTAACGAATACACATAATAGTATTATTAATAATAATATTAATAATAAAATAATCTTTAACAAATACACATATTACAATGTAATTTCTTTATTGTCCCAAGGTCACTGATGCAAAAACTCAGTAAACCCTTGTATTCAGTAACTGGTATATCAGCATTACCTGCAATACCCTTAATACAGCCCCAATCCTGTATACAAAACTGTTTCAGTGTGAGTAAATCATTGGGATGTCTTATAATGCTGAGGCATTTCATTGTCACTGAGGTTGGTACTCTTCTTTTGCCATTTTAATACAGAGCATTCTTTATATGTGAGAAGCTTTGTAGCTGATATGCTTCTGTGCTTTAACTTATTATCATGTTGCATGACCCATCTTCTTGACTTTTTAAAGACTGATGATCTGACATTCTGTTGAAAAATATTTTACGGAGAATCTGAAATTAACTAGTCATTGCAAGCTGTGAGGAAGAAAAGCAGGTCCTCATCAGTGCACTCTCTTCACCATGCTTCACAGTTGGGATATGGTTATAGTTGTGGTGGCATTAAATCTATTTTTGCTTCTCAGCATAACACTGTGTACATTTATCATACAGTTCTGCTTTTGTTTCATCTGTTTACAGATCCTTGTCCCTCTAATGCTTGGTAACCTAACCTCATCTGAGCAACATTGTTGTTCAGTTGTTTCTTTTGGATATACTCATGAATATGATGTTGTATAGAGCAAAAGATGTGTGCAGACCCTAATTGCAACCCCAGGGTTATTTTTCACTTGTTTGAGGGTGGCATGTGCTTGTATTGTTTTTTGTAGGAAACCATCTTCTGGACTGATTTTATATGTTTATATGTAAACTATCTGCCTGTCTGTGGACTGATGGAGATCCAAGTCCTTTGAAATCCTTTTATGATACTTTACATACTTATGAGTGCCAAAATGGGATTGGTGCATCTCTGAAATCTCTTTGGATCAAGCCATATTGCACTTGAATGTGTTGTTTTGCTATGGCGGGATAGCTATGGCCGAGTCTAGAGGAACACTAGACTCAGTAATTGAAATAACTGTCAACCTATTATTAACCAGCTGTCTTTATGTGTGATCATGTTTTTAGAATATATATTAGGCATGTGTATTCGTATTCGGACGAACCTGCAAATCAACGAAATTCAGTTGATTCGGCGGTTCGTCCGAATCCGAAATAACAAACTTTTTATATGCCCTAATACACTAAAACAATATTCGGGCATAAAAAAATTTGTTATCAGAACGCACGGCGGCCAAATTAGCCACCGGTGCATTTTGCGCATGCTCGCCGCCATCTTAGAGGTGGGGTGCATAATGTCACATGACGCCACGCGTGTGCGGCATTGGGTGACGTTATTTGCAGAATGAGCATCGGCCGCCAGTGTGTTCTGTGCACGCGCGCCACCATTGTGCTGTATATCTTGGTATGCACCAGGATGGTGGCGCCCACATAGTCGGGTGCCACCATCTTGGTGTATACCAAGATATACTCCAATATGGCGGCATGAATGCGCAGAATGCGCTGGTGGCTGATACGGCTGCCGCTCGTTCTGCAGTTTCTTTGTTCGGATTCGGAGGCTCGTTGCTTCCGAATACGAAACGGCATTAAAATTTGTTTCCATTGATGAAACGTATGAAAATGTTTTTCATTTTCATTTGTTTCGTCCGAAACAAAAAAATTTGCCCTGCATTAGCTGCATTCTGATATGATTTTTAGCCAAAGCGGTAAAGGTCCACTTTAAGAATCTGCTTTAAATCACGCTCCAGCATTTGATGGGATCACTGTCAGGACACTTTGCCGTTTTAAAATGTATGGTTTCCTCTGCATTTTGCATTATGATAAAAGTGGACATTTGGTGTAAATTTTCAATGGCTACATGGTACCCCCAACTGCTTGGTCTGTAGAAAGGGCCGCCCCCCCCGCCGGACACCGCCGCCGTGCTTCCCGGGCTCCGTTGCCCCTCCTACGGGCCTGGGACCGGCGTCCTTCGTGTCTGCGGGGAGCTGCGGAGGAGGTCGACGAACTTCCGTTCATCGATCCCCTCCCCGTTCTATGGGACCGGGAGCGATGCAGATTGCATCACTTCCGGTCTCTGGGCTGTCAGTTCTGGGCTCCTGCAGCCCAGCTATAAGCTATTGAAGTGTGATCTGGACTTCAATAGCTTATTGATAGCAGTCAAAGTAAAGTTAAAAAAAAAAGTTTTTAAAATAAAAATTAAATAAATCTAATAATATAAAAAAAATTTAAAAGTTAATTAAATTTTTCACTAAATGTTGGGGTTTAATAAGGAGTTGCGCTAATATTGCGCAACATAAAAATTTGCAACTACCACTATTTTATTCTATAGGGTCTTGGCATTCAGAAAATATATAATGTTGGGGGGTTTTAAGTCATTTTCAGGCCCAAAATGTGGAATATAACATAGGTGCAAAAAAATTTAAAAAAGGCCTCAGTCATGAAGGGGTTAAAGCTGAACTCAATGCAAACTGCTAACCACACAGGTAAAATAGGTACAGGAATAGGTCCATCCAGTCCTGAGATGAACCCAGTTCTGCCACAGAGCTCAGTCCTACCTGGTAGGGCAGAAGACCTGACCTTTCTCTTCTGCAGTTTTACTTTCACATACAGATCCCCTCCGCACCCTGCAACTGGACAGTAAAAGAGAAGCAGCAGACGGATGAGCTCATCTCTCTGCACTTTTACTCTTTTGTCTATCAGCATGCTGATAATTAAAATAAAAAAGGGGATAAAGTAGATTAATAAGGTTAATAAGGTAAAAAAAAATTATAAAAAATAAAAAAGTAAATGATAAAGAAAAAAAATGTTAAAAATTATAAAAAAGTAAAAACATGTTTTTAAAACTAACCCTGCCGCCCCCACCATTTGGTTGCCATTCTCCATTGGGGGTGTGTGTTTGGCAGGGAGGGGGGCGCATAGAGGAACCTGGCCTTGGGGCAACAGAGCGAATAAATCCGGCCAGCACATCGTCTCCTGTACATAACGCCAAGGTTCCGAGCACTGAGAAGGGAGAGAGATGCGACTCAAGCAGTACAGAACTCCGGTCGCATGTGAAAGAGTTGGCATAGGTGTTCTGCCTACTGGCCAGCCAGCTTCTACATTCCAGAGGATCTCTGCTGTCTCCTTGCTTTGTAGTGTCAAATTGCAGGATTGAGAATTAAAGCGCCACAATAATAGTCAATTTAATAGTCTAAATACATCGTTATTCAGTGTAGTTTTGAAGGCAAAGTATAGAAATAGCCAATGCATTTCAGGAGCTCACACAAGTACCCCCTTCATTAGGGCTTACTAAGGGAGAATATATATGAGGACTGTGATGGCTTGAAATTGGATGCCATTTTGTCCCAGTGTGTTAAGGTGCCCATACACTGCACGATTATCGTACGATAATCGTATGCGATCGGTTTTTCGTACGATAATCGAGCAGTGTGAACGGAGACGTGCGACCGTTTCTACTGTACGGGCGCACGTCTTCTTTCGAACCAGCATGTTCGAAAACCAGCGGGGAATCGTACGATTCTAGGCTGGTTAGAACGGTGCTCGGAAGACAAATGCCGAGCGGGCCGGTGTGCGCACGCGCACACTGCCCGTTCAGCATTGCGGTCATCGGAAGCCCGCCCCTCAGGGGGGCGGGCTTGCGATGATCGAGAGTGCGATCTGCCTGTCCAAGATAGGCAGATCGTACGTTTTTTTAATCCCTGTACAACCATCGCAAGACTAAAGTCTTGCGATGGTTGTAGAGTGTATGGCCACCTTTAGAATGCATAGAGGTCTTCAGCTGATTAAGCTGCTGATGAAGGGGGTATCTGTTTGAACACCTAAAATGTGTTGGTTATTCCCTATATTGTCCCCTGAATCCTACATTGAACAAAGATGTATCTGCACTATGAATCGGAGTGTGACACTTCAGTTCACAGTCCTGCAATGTGATCGTGAACTATGTCACAGCCAACACTCTGGTGAATGTGGGATGTAAGTAGAGGACAAGTGTGTGGCAGCTGGATTCAACTTATCCAATCATGATTTCTCTATCCAGTCAAACTTGTAAGAGCAGATGGACGTCAGTGTAGAGCCTGCATGACTGGGTTTGGAGAGGCAAAGGATAGCGATGGTTAAAGTAGAATTACACTCAATATTTTTTTCAATAGTGAATCCAGATCAAACAAATATAGAATGCCCAGCAAAGTATTTATTTATATTTTTGCTCAAGCACTTATAGTCACCGTGTTTCTGAACACCTCCAACTTTTTCAGCTAAGCTTCCCAGAACTTCCTGTCCAGTACAAGATCACACAATGGACAATACAATCCCCAGTAGCTGTCCTTGTACTAGCTTGGGAAAGGGAGGAGAGAGGAAGGGTGCAGGTGAGTGGTTTGCCTT